GGGGGAGATGGGCGGGGGAGAAATTAAATAAATAAATAAATAAATAAATAAATAAATAAATGCTGTGTAGATGCTTTTGGAAGAAACATATTGGATTCAGGTCTGGTTATGGCCTCAATTGACCTTGATCACCTAATGTATGACCTTCATAAAGAAGTGTCCATTCTCCTTGATTTCTCAGCAGCTTTGACCAGGATATCTTTGTAGACCACCTCTGTGAGCTGGACCTTAAGGGCATTCATTATATTGCAGTTGTTCCACTCTTCCTTACGTGCCAGGTTCAGAAGATAGCATAGATGATCATCCTTGGCTTTGGGACAGTTAAACTCTGGGATTCCACAAAATATCACTCTGACCTCAGTGCTGTTTACATCTATATGAAGACACTTGGCATGATCATCAGATTTGGCATGAGATACTGATGATATCTATTTCTCTGTTATCTTTTAAGACAAGGGAAACTGAAGGCCCTGGACCAGTTTATGGATGCTAAGGTGGATAAGGGTCAACAGGCTGATGATGACTATCAAGAAGATGGTGGCACTTTAATTAAGCAGTTTGCTTGCTTTGGATATGGTTAACCTCTCCCTGAAGGAGCAGCTATATAACCTGACATTGGAGCATGGATGTTAATGGGAGGAAGCTGTATGACAAAGTAGACTCATGATGCCAATTCTACTTACTGTTAACTTTACTTACAAAAGAAAAGTCTTGCAAATGTTCTGTCTGGACAAGGAGCCATTGATAAAAAATCTTTTTAAAAAAACATTGACTCCATGGAATGTCTTTCTTCTTTTCCAGCTTGTCTTCCCCACACATGGACAGGTACATCAAGACTGGATGATTGCAATGTGTGGTACAGGAGGCTGCCCTTTAGGCTGGCCTGGAAGCTATAACTAGTGCAAAATGCCACAGCTCCTTTGCTGAAGGAGGTAACCCACCATGGCACTTCTTCAGAAGGCACTGCCTTAGCTGCCATAGTGCCGCCAAGCTGAGGTCAAGACGCTTGTTCTGATATCCAAAGCCCGTGATAGTGAAGAATATAGATGATTGGCATACGGTCTGCTGCCTAGTTCTCATGGGGATGTTCTCTGGAGGGTGCCACATCATTAGCCAGGTGGTGACCCAAATTTGCTATGTTGTGATCTGATAGAGGGTATTCAGTCCTCCACTTATGGAATCCCTTCACTGTTCCCTTATGTTGTATTTGTTCATCCAACTACTATTGTTCTGTGTTTTTAGATATTTAATTAATCGTTTCAATAACCTTTTCATTCATTTCAGTTGAACTACAGCCCTTTTTATTTGAAAAAAAAATGAAAAAGCAGGATGCAAATGTTGGAAATAGAAAATAAGGAAAACCCATTAATGATTTAAAAAGTATGTACATTGTTAGACAGGGCTGTTGCTTGACATTCCAAGCCATAGGTCATTTGATCTTCTGTGTACTCGCTCAGATGTTATGTTTGCTATTCCCAGTGTGAGCAAATAAGCATGGAGAAGATAGGAATCTTAATGAAGCAAAGTTCTTTGAGGACATGTCACATTGACCTCTTCCAAATGGACTGAGAGGGACAAGATGTCTGTGTGTCTGTGTCTGTGTGTTCCCTGGTCCCATCACTTCCTTTGTAGTGGGAGTATAAAATACACTCCTAGGATTCTGTCAGAGACTCTATTCCAAGAGGCTGATGACTTGATTTCAGCAGAGATATTTTTAGATCTAACCAAAAGGCCTCCTCAATTCACCAGTAGCTGACATGCCAGAAGAATCAAAGCCAAGTCCCTTTGCCTCTTTTAGAATAAATGTCATTGACCTAGAAACCTTGCAACCAAAGCCATACCCAAAATAATCATAGATACTCAGAAAAGTAAAATCTGGAACTTATGCAAAGGAATAAAATGTAGTCTGCTCTGTGTTCCCTCCCCATCATTTTGTTCAGCTACATGGATCTTTCTGCAAGGCTGTGGAGCAACAAGTTGTGTTGGCAAGCGTATATCCCATAAGTGTCTATCTTTGAGGGCATTTAAAGGTGAGATTCGGTGAGCAGGAATGATCACTCCTAACTCCTCCCTTGGACCAATTCTGCAACCAAAATCTTTCAACTCAAACCCATGTTCTCAATCTTTTTCTTCCCAGAGACACACAATAAGAATGGCTGTTTGCCCTCCTCTCCTCAGTAGGACTGCTGGTAGGGAGATTACAAATCAAAAATAAAACATCTGGTCTCCCCCGTTGATTCACTGAGGAAAATTCCAAATGTTTTGCAGGTACCTTTTATTTTAGAAAAAATATAACTCTGTCTGTGACCCACTCCCTTAACGGCTTGGGGTACAGTAAAAATATCATAGCTAGATGAGAGAGAGAGATGATTAGATAGATAGATAGATAGATAGATAGATAGATAGATAGATAGATAGATAGATAGATAGATAGATA